ACTTTTTTTTTGTTTTTAATTTTGCTCTGAAAAAGAAAATCACATAAATAACAATCACTTCAAAACTGCAGGACAGGATTTGAAAGGGTGGAACACTTTAATTCACATTTTTTGCTTGACAGCTGAACATGGATCTGAGGGAGTTTCTCCTATAATGAGGGTAAGACAACATGACAGGACAACATATTCATACCAAATTCTTGCTACAGTGCATTAGATATTTGACTCCCTTTTAAAAGTTTAACGATACAGACGCTGTGTTTTTATGTTGCCTTTAATCAGTATCAGTACATAGCCAGTGCGATGTATTGTAATGACTGATATTGATCTGTCATTATAACACTGAGGCAGACTACTAAGCCTAATGTGGCCCTAAAGATCCCCAAATCTACAGGATAAATATGGGTGGAGGGGGGTTCAAAGAGTAGTGCTTGCCCCTGCCTCATTACCACCACTTATGTGCCTTTGAGCGAGGGCCCTGAAACCCTCCCACTCCTACAGTGGAGCTGCTCAGTGGCTGACAGATCCAACTGGTTGTACTGGGCAGCCTCCAGGTGTGAATGTGTGTAACTGTGTGAGTGTGAGCAGGGTGTTTCCTGAAAAACATTGCTCTCAATGAAACTCCCCCTGAAGAATTAAAAAGCGATCATGTCTATTCAACGATCAATTTATTAATCACAGTGCTATTGATCATCTACTGAGTGCCAAAAATGAAAGCCAGAAATCAGATCATTATGCGTCATATCTCGTTTCATGAAATACTTAATATCTCAAGGAGCTTCTGCATTGTTTGCTTTTCTGTTTCATAAATAAATATCATCCAATAAGGAATATAAAAACAACTGTAACATCATTATTTTAAAAACTGTTGAAGGTGGTTAAAATCTCTATAAATACAGTTAGCTTAAATAAATAAATTAAAATTATAAATATACCGTTTACTGTACACAAAAAAAAGATGGAAAATACAAAATGCTGTCTGTTGAGGAAAAAAAAAATCCAGGTTGAGCTCTCGTTGTTAAAAATCTTTTCTTATTCAGTTCAGTCTGAAACAGCCTCTTTTCACAAGAAGCAGCACAGAGTCTAGACGTGTTCCTTCTTCTTCTTCTCGTTCCTTCGTGCTTATCACCTATTTGCTCGTCACATCTCCAGTCCATCCTCTGGGCCGTTAGTATTCCAGTTTCAGGCGTGCCGTCTTCTTCCGAGGCCTTCAAGGAATATGTTCAGCTGCCCATTTTTTTCATCTGAACGTCTAGCAGAGGGTCAGGCAGACAACAACCTCTGTTCCCTTCTACGTGTACGATCCTTTTTCCCTCCAGGACCTCTTTTTGCAGTTCACTTCTCTTTTCTATTTTGAGGTAGAATTTCCGCATCTTTGCCTAACATTGGAAAAAAAAACAAGAGGCAGTGAGCAAAACCTTCTTTCATTTAGGCAACAAAGAAGCAAGCCAAGTGTTTTTCAGTGTTTGTGTTTGTAGGCCTGTTCCTCTACTACTCACCTCTCTTTGTCTCTTCAGTGGTTGGATGCTAACCCTAGTTTGACCTTCTCTTCATTCTCTACATCATACGCTCCCCGCTTATGAAACCTGCAATAAACACAAGAAAAGGAGCTTGTTTAGACTATTTTCTGTGTCTATCTATGACAAGTAACGGCTAACGTGTGGTTGTGTGTGTGTATGTTTGTGAGTGAACCTATGAGTGTTTCTCTTACCTTAGCAATAATAAAAGGCCTATGATGGTGAGGCAGATGGACGACAGCACCACTGCCACCACGGCCAGAGCTGTGGTCCTGTTGTAGCCCTCCTGGGGCTTCTCCAAGGGCAGCGTGAAGAACTGACACCGTTCCCCAGAGTAACTTGGGAGGCACCTGCAGACAGGACAGAGAGGGATCTGGTTAGTCAGGTTAATAATTCAGTGGTGGGAGATAGCGTGGCAGATACAGAGCTCGTACTTACACGCAAGATGCGGCACGGATGTCCCTCAGGTACTGGCAGGTCCCGTGAATGCAGAAATCCTTATACTTCTTCAGGCAAGGATTCCTCTTCTTTCCCTTGCCTTTCCCCTTCTTTTTCCCCTTTCCTTTCCTTCTCTGTCCTTCAGTGTTTGCAGCGTCCAGGATGGCAGATGGGTCTTTGGGTTTGCTCGACATGGCAACTAAAACAAAAAGAGAACAACAGAACAATTACATTTAATCGTCTTTGTTATGAAAGCAAGTAAATAATTGGATAGAAAACAGGTTTTAGAAACTGACAAACTCCCTCACCTTGTGGCACTTCCAGTTCAGAGTCTCCAGACATGCCATCTTCATAATCCTCTTCATAATATTCATCATCGTAATCCTCCCCCTCCTCCTCGCCTTCCTGACCATACTCCACCGTTGTCGCACCCACGCTTATGCTCTCCTCCTCTGCCGTTCTGTCTTTGGTTGTGTCCAAAAACTTGAAAACAGCCCTGTGCTTCTGCCTGTCACTCTCATACCTGTCGACCGCAGCGCCACTGGCCATTCTGGACACCACTGGAGGAGAGAATAAGAGCAAAATGTTAGGGAAAAGTTTGGTTTGATACAGTCTTTAACAGAACAGACTCCTTAGAAAGTCTTCCTCCAGGGGACAAACAATGCACACAGGTTAGTGTGCCAAGGTGGGCCGGACCTCTGAGGGCAAGTTGAAACATGTTGTGCAGAAGGAGGCTCCAGGCGGGATTTTTGGCTTTCAGTGCAATCATACTGATCCCTGTTAGGAAATGCACAAGCTCAGATAGAGAGCGTGGTCCTTAAGGGGTTGGTAGGTATTTACCGCCTTGCTCAGGAGCACTTCAGCAGAGTGGAACCTGAAGCCAAATGTAGAGGGGGCTCAAACTAGAGAGCCTCCCTCAGATGGGACAGTTTAGATTTGTGGGCTTTTGGATGGGAAATGTAGTGAGGGGACAAATAGAAGTTGGCACACTCTCATATATACACACACACATAAAATGCATGGACAGACAGTTAGCTAATGTCAGGCAAGAATATGAGTTAAAAATAAATGTATCCAGTTACATAAAGCATGCTCTAAAATAGAGAGATGACCCCATTAGCTCCCGAATAGCCTGGCATCATGAAAACCGTTGCCTTAAAGGTTATGAAGTTTACAAGACTTGTTATTAGCTCGGCCATGCCTGAGAGGTTTTACACCGACAGCCAAGGAGAGACAGCTAAGAGTATTTAACACACATAACAATAACCTTCAACAGAGAAACAAACTTGCTTTCTTACAGGAGCGCACATGAAACTCACCCAAGGCGTGAACCAGCAGGAGCACAACACTGAACATCCTCATGATGGCAAAACTTCCAGTCATATTTAGGAAAAAAGTTTAAAAATATATATATAATGATCAACAAATTGTATTCCTTCCACTTGTCCGCAAATATTCCTTCGTTTCTTTTTCTTTTTCTTTTTTTTTTTTTCTCTCTCTCGGTGTGTTTGTGAGAATTAATTCCGCTTGTTTGCGACCTCTTCGTGTGATTTCGGGACTTTGGTGCGTCTCGGATGTTTCAGTGTGAGAGGAGCGGAGATAGAGACAGTCCTCACAGAGGCTCCGCGCTATTTATGGCCCTTGTTCCTCCCTTCCTCCCCTCACCACGCCTCCTCACCCACTGCCGGCCAGCCTTCTGCAAGTGGGCCTGTGCTCATGTACATCCTCCATACATTTCAGTGGAGGCTGTTGGAAATTCATTCTTTTCTAGCAATTATGTTTCATCTGTTAGTCTCATCTTTTTCTCAGAGCTTTGGCTCACCTGAAGTGTTTTTGCCTTTCAAAACACTCAAATTTATCTAAATCTATTTAATATCTATTTAATAGAATTTCAGAAGTATTGGTTTCTGCACTTTAAGCTGTTTACTTTTGTACAGACAGACATAAAGACAGATAGTGAATTTCTTGAGGCCTATAAATAATAAAAGCACCTGAGGAGATGACAGGCAAATAATGAACAGCTTGTCTGCGCCGCCCCGTGGTAGAAGTAGGAACTACATCATACCTGCTCTAAGTAGATTACCAGTCAAAGTAAATCTAACCATATTATTCTGATTAAATAATAAGAACTATTGAAACAAATCAGACTCATATGAAATACCGAAGTGCTTCAACTAACTCCAATATAATCTGATTATTCAATTAAATATGGTATGCGTATTCACAAATGGTTCACAAGATTTCAGAGACTGAACAAATAGGTCCTGCAGCTGGTGTCCATCATTGTAGATAGATAGATAGATAGATAGATAGATTTACCCCGAGGGAAATTCAGAATCCAGTAGCAGACAAACATACATTAGACATACATACAAAATTAAAATGTACTTATAACACAGTAGCCACAGTAAACAGTGCAAATGGAGGAAGAAACTGTTGTCTATTGTCCTCCCTGCCTT